ACTGGTGAGGCCTCAGCTGGAGTACTGTGTACAAGTCTGGGTGCCTCACTTTAGGAAAGATATGGACAAATTGGAGAAAGTTCCTAACTGTCAGGGTGGTTAAACACTGGAATAAACTGCCTAGGGAGGTTGTGGAATCTCCATCTCTGGAGATATTTAAGAGTAGGTTAGATAAATGTCTATCAGGGATGGTCTAAACAGTATTTGGTCCTGCCATGAGGGCAGGGGACTGGACTCGATGACCTCTCGAGGTCCCTTCCAGTCCTAGAATATATTAATCTATAACTGTAAATTATAATATTGATCTGTGGCAAGGGAGATCTAGGTTAGATATTAGGAAAAGCTTTCTAACTATAAAAGGTAGTTAAGCTCTGCAACAGGTTTGCAAGGGAGGTTGAGAAATCCTTATCACTAGAGACTATAAGAACAAGTTAGATATGCACCTGTTGTGGATGGTCTAGGTATGCTTGGTCCTGCCTTAGCATGGATGGACTAGATGGCCTTTCGAGGTCCCTTCTAGACCTATATTTCTGCGATTCTATAACCTTTATCTGGCTATGGAGTTGTGTGCCCTGTATAGCTGAGAGGGAGGATTGGGTTCATGGAAATTTTATGCTTTGTTGGATTTTCTGTGGCACTCGTCACCAAAATATCTGTGCACCTCACATTCATTTATCCTCATAATGACCTTGTGAAATAAGGAAGTATTGCAAAACCCAGATCTTATACATCTCAGTCCAATGCTGTAGCTGCTTGAATGATGGGTACTTTATTATGTCATACCCTATTTTAATTATTTTATAGCTTTTATTTTTTTTAAACTGCATTTCCCTGTTTAAATGTAGCAGCAACATACTGTCAAGCACAACAACTGTTCAGGAATACACATCTTAGGTATGTGGCCCCCATTACTACAGTACCTGGGCACCTCACCATCTTTAATGTATTTATCCTCACAATACCCCCATGAGGAAGTGTGACAGACTTGCCCACTTTCCTAGAGGCAGTCTGTAGAAGAGAAGGGATTTGAACCTGGGTCTCCAAAGTCTGAGGCTAATGTGCTAACCACTGAACCATCTTTCCTCTCAATCTCTGTTTCACCATCTATTAAATGGGATACTTTTTGTAAAGGAATATATTCATTCATGTTTGTATGGAAAAAATTATATAAAAAAGCTAAGTGGTAAACAGTATGCTAGTGGGAGAATACTATCAAAAGGATTTTTATCCCTATTTAATAAGAATGTTCCAGAGCACAAGAATTTGGTCAAGGATTTAAAATCTCATTCTTCTTCAAGTGATAGCACATGTCCATTCTACTTCAATATGTGTGCACTGTTGGAGATTTTTCCTCAGCAGT